CATCTCATATAATGTTTGGTCTTTTCTATCTATACTTGTCATGGTTTTAATTACTCTTACTCTTCCGCCTCAAGTTTGAGTCTAAGAACTTGTGGGAGTTAAAAATAAAAAGGTGTTGTTAACTCATGTTTGAACCTTTTGTGACTCCAGCGTGAGATACATGAGCTACTAGCACTTGTGTACTATGACAGTCTTCAAAATGTGGTTCCATTTTATGATCAGCGGTTGGTGGTGCCTCCGAAGAATGAAGCATGGTTCAGATTTTGTGAGAATTCCTTGAAACATTTCAAAAAAGCTTTTGCACACCAGTATATTCTCTCTTCACTTTTGATATCTTTTGATTTATTTCTCAACAATACCTTACCACAATTTTGTAATTTAACCGTGTTTTTTTATTTTATGCTCTATTTTCATACAGGCAAGATTGGTCTCATGCATTCTATATGGGCAAACTTAGTGAAAAGCTCGGGCTTTCACACGATAAAGCTCTATCATATTATGCTAAAGCTATTGCCTTAAATCCATCAGCTGTTGATTCTATTTACAGGATGCATGCGTCACGCTTGAAGGTTCTTGGTAAATGTGGAAAACAGGATCTGCAGGCTTTGAAGGTTTTTAGCATAAAATCTTATAAAGTTGTAATCGTTGCTTTTTTTTATTATAGTGGATTTATTATATTAGTTTTCAACGAAGTACAAACACTCGTGAATTCCTGTTTCATGTCATCCTTTTGAATTTTAGATATTTAGCGAACTATGGTAGACTTTGGATGAGTTCCATTTTCCCTTTTATATATAATATATATTATTTATCCTTGCTTTTTGTTGGAATTCTCCAGGATCTTTCAACTTATGCCTTTAATCAGTCAACTAGAGATGCTTTGATGGAAATACTGAATAAATTTGGTTCCAAGACTTTGGATTTACCTTCAGGCGTGGATGGCAGCGAGGCAAATTCTGAGGATATAAAGCATGATGAATCCCTTAAAGTGGAAGAGGCGTGGCACATGCTTTACAACGATTGTCTTTATGGACTTGAAACTTGTGTTGAAGGGGATCTTAAACACTATCATAAAGCCAGATATGCACTTGCTCAAGGTCTTTATAGAAGGGGTGAGCGCGGTGATCTGGGCAGAGCAAAGGATGAGCTCTCATTTTGTTTTAAATCATCTCGTTCATCATTTACAATAAATATGTGGGAGATTGACAGCACGATAAAAAAGGGAAGGTATGGTTTCAATGCTTGTCCAAAGTCTTTATGTTATAGATAACTCATTCAGGGTAGTTCAATGATACCGGAAGAGAAGTCTTCACAATATGCTTGCATTATGAAGTAGTATGTCAACTTATTTTATATTTGACTATATGCAGGATAGGATCGAAAATGATTGATGTTCTTACTTCCTCTTTCTGTTATTGCTAGAATCTATCTTATTAATAGAAAGCAATCATGTTTCGAATTGTAGATAGCTGTTCCAAGTGATATGAAGAGCATGAAGGTTTTGAAAATGATTATTACATTATCCATAGTATTTAGTTTTTCTTGTAAAAGGAAATTATCCATACCATTTTCTTTGTAACGTCAAGTCCTAATCTATGTTTTCTGTGGTTTGAAGTATTCATAATGAAGTACCTTTTATACTTGCTTACACATTTCAAAGCAAATTTACTTGAAAGTTAGTCTTCCAATGTAGCATAAGTAATTCTGTATTACAGGACAAAACTTCTGGTCTTCATAGAACAAAAAGGCATTTGAAGTTAATTTACGATAAAGTTTTTGGAAGTTTATTTCTTGCATTAGAAGTCTAACCTAATGTAATGCCTTCAGCACGTGCAATTAAAAAGGAAGCTACCTTTTTGACATATCTATATTTCAGGCGCAAAACACCTGGTCTTTCTGGGAATAAAAAAGCACTTGAAGTTAATTTACCAGAAAGTTCTCGGAAGTTTATTACATGTATAAGGAAGTACTTATTGTTTTATTTGAAACTTCTGGAGGAGACTGGAGATATCTGTACCCTTGAGCGTGCGTATATATCACTTCGAGCAGATAAAAGGGTAACAACTACATGCTTTGAACTATTTCTATTCAATTCAATGTTTCATCAACCACATATTAAATTTAAATTGTAGATTCCTATATACAATGCAGGGAAAATAATTTAATGTCGTGCATATGTAATGTAGTTGTATGCAAAAATTGGCATAAATGTAATTAAGTCATCTTGGCCGTTACTTTTCCTTTTGTTTCTTTAATGGAGAAACCATATAATTCTTACTTTTTTTTGTTCAATATGCGTACAAGCGCACATGTTTTTATGCTTTTATTTATGTATGCATGTATGTATATTTCATTTATTGATGTTGGCAGGCCATCAATTCTGTGAATTCAATTTTCATTTTGTGTTGAAGATCTTGTTGAGTTGCACCTTGCTTATGTTGTTGCTTATTGAATCATGTGGCATGTAACACCAATCATCAATCCAGTTTGCATTGTGCATTGAAGATCTAGTTCCAGTTGCTCTAGGGAGGTATGTCAAGGTTTTGATTACGTCTGTTCGTCAAGTTGGGATTGCCAGCTGTGGTGATGCAAGCGGTTATGAACATATACTAGAGAAAATATTTGCTCTGTTCATGGAGCAAGGTAACTTATGGCCAGAACTGTGCAGTTTGCATGAAATACAAGGACCGGGTATATCAGAAAGCAATTTGTTTGGGTAAGCATATTAGAGAGTTATCTGGTTTATCGAGCTTTTGTTTTTTCCCAGTGTTGCCACAGACTATTCAAACACTAGTGCTACTGTACTTGGATATGAACTTTTGGAATCTGATTGCCGCAGGTATCTTCATGATCATATCATTACTTTGGAGAGAAATGTCAAGGTTGAGAATCTTGAAGCAATAAATGAGAAGATTCGCAAACGTTTTAAGAATCCGAAGTTGTCCAATATTAGCATTGCAAAAGTTTGCAGGCATGCTTCTACTGCATGGTGTAGATCCCTTATAATTAGCTTGGCACAGATCACTCCCGTTCCTTCTGAATCCTCAACCGAAATTCAAACGTCAAGTTCATTACCTGTTGGTTTAGAAAGTAACCAGCTACTTTGTGTGGATTTGCAAATTAATGAATTATGGAGTTCAACATTTGAGGACTCAACACATCTGAGAAGTCTTGAACCGAAATGGTGCCCGATCTTGTCCAAAATCAATAACGTATTTGTTAAAAGAGCTACAGAAGTGAATTGGGAAACTGCTAACTCTTTGCTTCGATCTTCTTACAACTTTTTTCGTGAGAGCTCTTGTGTGTTGCCATCTGGCTTGAACCTGTATCTAGTTCCAGGTCGACTGGCAACCGGAGTAAACTTCCAACGGCGCATGGATGGGGTTGAAATTCTAGAGTTCAGCATGCCAAGGAAGCTTCTCTTGTGGGCTTACACCCTAGTGTATGGTCATTTTGCTAATATTTCATCGGTGGTGAAGCATTGTGAAGAACATCTTAAGGTATGAACTGAAAAATCTGTTATTGTGATGTGATAGTTGTCAAGTGATTAATGATTGGCTAACCTTTTCAGTCAAAGTTAAAGAAGGGAGCTGGAAATCCCGCCACACATGCTCACTCAAACCTGCCTGCTGTGATATCTTCATCAACAGGTTGCTTTCTTTTCTTTTTTCATGCTTCTACGTAGGAAAACTGGAAATGATGTTGCATACCACTTTTATCCTGCCTTTCTTCTCATTTTGCTTGTTTAATCGCCATGAACGGTTAATGATTCGAAACTCATATCTACCTCGACTCCTCTGCCTCGCCTTATATGCAGTTCTAGGCATCGGAAAAGATGGTTCTAACTACAGTGGGGAGACTGATGCAGAAGCATCTCCAGCCACCCCAGTTACATCTACGTTGTTGCTGGAGAGTCAGGGCACGAGCAGTACCATGCCGCTTCTTTCTTCTGGCGACGCTCGTAAAAGTAACTTTTATGGCTCCCAACTTCAACAATGTAACAGTACCATTGCAGAGAGGATAGCTAATGGAGGAGATTCAGACAAAGGATGATACTCCCTCCAGTTGCTTGCTCTCTCAGTAGTAAGCAATTCACAACGCTTTCTTTATAACCTGTAACTTATGAGAAATCTTCCAAAGAATAGGTTTTAAATATCCATTTCAACTGCCAAATATACACATCTTGTGGCATGTAATTCACTAATTGTGATCGTTGCTTGAAATATTAACCAAAATTCTCATGTCTGAATGATAAACTATGAAGCCCATTGCAGTCCTCTCATCTAGCTCGTGTCCTTTCACGCAAGACGACTAGAATCAAATGGTATTTATTGAACTGTTTCTTCTATATCATTGATTGTCGAATCCAGTTTGTCTGATTTTGCACACTATACCGACCATTTTCGACACATTATCCTTTATTTTCATAGCATATTTGAATGGGTGAAACGAAGATTTTCAATCCTCTGCTCTACTAACTGAGATGTACCGGTCATTTTCTACACATTATCTTTATTTTCAATAGTAGATTGGTGGCATGAAGATTTTCAGTCATTTGTTCTACCAATTGAGCTTTATCGACAGTTTCATTTATTAGACATATTTATTTAAATAATTGACTTAAAGTTCTTCCAAAGTCTATCTTACTACATTTGGTTTTTGTAATAGGACATCACGAAAACTTAATCATTAATTATAAATTAATTTCAAATTATATGTACAAAATTATTTTCGTATTTTCAATTACCTATAAAATATATTAATTTCAATTTGATTTTATAAATATTCATCTTTTTTTAATTTCCTTTTATTTTAAACTCGAAATCTATTTTAAAATTATAGAATTATATTATATTTTAACATAATTCAATTTATATAAAATTTGTATTCTTAGAGATTAAAAGTAAAAGACCAAATTTATTTATTTGTGAATCAGAAAAAAAGACAAATTTTGAAATTTAACCGAAAATATAATTTAATTCTGTGGGGATATTTTTCCAAAACGATACATGTAAAGATAGAGCCGCAGTGGTTCCAAATTATATCTCCCCCTTCGCGTTTGGAAATGGGAAGTGGAGCTCTGCGTTTGCTCAAAGGAGCTTCATCACTTCCATTGTTGAATCCCCAAATCTTCATCTCCACCAGTTTGAATACGCTTCCTGTTTCTAATATCAGAATCCAGAAATGTTCGACTGCTCCTGGAATTCGTGCCTCTCTTCAACCTCCCGATGTTCCTCGTTTAGCTGAAACAGCTCGAATTTCCCTCAATCCGAGTGAGGTATGTGAGGCCTTCACCATCTCAATGTTTTCTTCTGTTTCTTCGATCTTCTTCTTCTTCTAGTAAAATCCGCTTCTCGCTTTCAGGTTGAAGAATTTGCTCCCAAGATTCGACAGGTTGTTGACTGGTAAGCTCCGCTCTCTCTCTCTCGCACGCACACAGAAACTGATAGACCTTGAAAGATATTAGGCGTCTGGATAAATTTAGGGTAAAAGAATGCTGTTCAAAGTATGTGACCTCCGCAACCGTGGCTTCTGTAGGAAACACTCAAACTTGGTTATCGTAAATGTTTGGTTGTTATCTTAGGTGAGACTGAAAAGATGATTGTATTTGTTGGTGTTTGGCCTCTAGGGAACTTACTATGAGACAGTTGCCTCTTATGCCCTACAAATTGAGGGGAATTCTTCAGGGGCAGGTTGTAAAATCAGATTCTATGAGTTTACATTTACTCCTCTCAGCTGAAGAAAGGGTGACAAGATCAAACTTGTAGCGACATTGCGAAACTTGTTTGAGTGTGACTTTTAGGGAGAAGTAAAAAAAGACAACCAAAATTGACAGTGTACAATTTCTTAAAAGACAGGAAGTTAAATTAGGTTGTTTTTATAACCTGTTTTACATTAACTTTCGGGGTTAACAATGATCTTATGAGCGAATTGGCACACTTAAAATGCAGTTCTGATATCTCTAGTTTTGCTTTGAAATTTTGAATGCTTGAAACTTCGATTTCCTCCCAATGGTCATTATAGATTTCTTAACAATATGCAAGCATCGAACTAATGAATCTAGAGGACCCTCCACATTAGGATTACCATTGTAATCACCCGCATCTTTCTTCTTCTTCTTCTTCGAACAGTGAAAAGTTTCAAAAGGTGCATTATAGGGGGTTACAAAGGACAAGCCCAATTAGTACTAAAGCAAGCATAGAATCATAGTTACGAAAAATAAGAGTGCACCAAGGTAAGCGAATTGAGCTAGTTAAACCCCAAACTTCATTATAGCACAAGATCAAACGACTTGAGCTTTAGGAGTAAAGGTTTGGTTGAATAAAAGCTGTTCGACACACTGGGAGGCATCATTGGCAAAGCACCGTGAAAAAAAAAAAGAATCCCAATTTTCTTTGAGAAAGGACCATGAAAAGAGAAATGACAACAATTCTCTTCCTCTTTCTTACAGAGAATGAACCAGCCTGAGAGGAGAGAACACGGGGTTCTTTTCTTTAACCACATTTTCAGAATTCAAGCTCCCATGAGCTGGTGTAATCAAAGGAGGCAACTAGAATCCAAACTCCATCTGAGCATAGCCCGTCACTCAGGAATTCAAACATTTTCCAGAAGAAATGAAAGGTCTGTTCCCTCAACAAGTTCTAAATCATTAAGTAGCCTTCGAAACTTGAGGTTCCACCATTAGTCATATTCCAGTGATCCCAGACCATGATGGAGTCAAAATTACTGAGTTAGAACATTTTGGAAAATTTTCTCCTTTATAGGTTCTGACCAAAAAGAAATTGAGACGTCATTACCCACCTCAACATTCAAAGCTACCTTCATCCTCTCTATACTTCTTGCAATGAAGTTCTAGGGACTTTTACTGTTGTAGTTTCCAAAGTAAAGCAGCCATTTAACCATATTTGCTAATAATGATTTTTATCTAGGGATTTTTTCTTTCATTGTCTTTTGAGAGATGCCACGCCAATTTGGAAGTTAAAGTCACAATTCTGTTTTTGAGCTTGTCCAAGCCGATATCTTCCTCCTCAGGATTGCAAGACCAAATCTGCACTTAATGAGGTGACTTCACCACTGTGGCACCATCCCTTTATGCCCACAAAATGTTTTCTTACACACTTCTTTATTTTGGAGATTTTTTTAACAAATTCTTCAAAGTAAAAATAGTAGGTTGAGATGCTGGCTAGAACTGACTGGATTAAAATATTATATCTGTATGTCGGTTGAGTCACTCAAGAGTTTAGACTATGTGCTGAGATAGAAGCACTGGGAACATGATTATATATTTGTCCTACGAAATTTTTCATTCTGTTAACTCTCTATTTGGGTTATTCATTTTTCCAATGAAATTGTCCGTTCTGTTAAGTTTATTATCTTGGCTGTTGCGGTTTCTAATAACTTGAAATGATAATATTATGTTTTAGGTTTGGGCAGCTCGAGGCGGTTGATCTTCAAAGCATTGAGCCTTCCATTAGGGCAGGTACATGCAACAACTCTTAGCATTTCATTACTGTTAATCTTTTGCAACTTGTTTTCGTTCTTCTAGCCATGCTTTCGCTTGTTTCTCACTGTTAATTGTTGATTTCAAATCGCACGTCTATCCAAAATGGAAATTTAAATCACATAATCGTTATTTTCATTGGAAAATAATGATCATAAGATGTGGAGGCATTGTCTACTTCCCGCGACGGACCCTGGTGGGGCCATGAAGCACATCGTGGATGGGGATAGCAGCAATAGGATCCGAAACTTCGCACTTTTTACTTGAGCTATCATGGCCAGGATAATTGATTACGATTTCAGATACCAAAAAAGCTGCTCCCCCCACCCACAGATTTTATATTTCATTCTGGGAGATTTTTGGATCATGAATTTTATCAAGTTATTAAAATGCTAAAAACCTCAGGACGGTTAGGAATCACAACCCTTCACAATAGTATGATATTGTCTGCCTTGAGCGTAAGCTCTCATTGCTTTACTTTTGGCTTCCCCAAAAGGCCTCATACCAATGGAGATGTATTCCTTACTCATAAATCCACGATCAACCTCTTAATTAGCCGATATGGGACTCCTCTTCCAACAATCCTCAACAAAGACAAACCGCTCGAGTGCAGCATACTGATTTTCCTAATATTTACAGATACTGAAGGTGGCAATCAGCGGGATGATGTTTCTGAAACATTCGAAAACAGGTAACCTGGTTATTTGCAACTTGTACTGTTACAACATTGGGCAGGAAAGTTCGATCATAACTCTATTATCTTATTTTTTTACCTCAGAGAGGCCTTGATCGGCGCAGTTCCAGTCTTTGATGAGCCGTATATCAGAGTTCCTAAAGTTCTGAATAAGGAGTAGTTGCTAAGGTAGGCAGTTTGTTTCATCTGTTTCTGTTAATTCATTAATGGCATGTTCTTCAACATCTTATGTCTCCCGAAATTATTAACTTTGCTACAAGTTACTCGGCGATATTCGAATTACAGTTCAAATTAGTCATCCATTGAGCTCATCAACTCTCCTTGTAGAGATAATGGAGAGAGATTCAGGTTAATCTAGCCTCTTCATCTCATAAACCCATGTCCAGATTCATATGTTTGTAGATATTATTTTTCAGTTCAGAGTCGTCTCTTTGGTAGCTTCAAGGTTGGCTCTGCTGGGCCCATTGGTTATCCAAGTATGAGGTGCAAATGGGTAATAAGAATATTCAGAATATTAATTATAAATATTTAGCAACTTGGTACGTCCTGTGAAATTAAGAAATTTCCTCTAGCAACGGTCACTCTCTACAATGATATGATATTATCTACTTTGAGCATAAGCTCTCATGGCTTTACTTTAGGGTTTCCCAAAAGGGTTCATACCGGGTTCATACCAATTGAGAGAGTATTCTTATAATCATGATCATTTCCCTTTCATCATCCAACAAGTTCATCATTAGGTCTTAATTTTAATGTCCATTCAATTTTAATCTTTATATTTTTAATAAATCATAAAATTAGTTGATAATTCGAAAGTCATTTTTAAAATTAAAATTAAATTGATTGTATAATAATAATAATTTTAATTTTCTGGGTTGGTAGACTTTCATTTCTCTTTAATGAGGTTGATAATCGGGAATCAATATATTTTCGGGCAGACGCAGGTGGGCAGGGCAGGGTAGGTAGGATAGATAGTGCTGGGTCCCACCGGATAGTTTTAGACGTCAAAAATATCCCTTATTTATTATTGTTATTTACATTGAAAGTCAATGAGTTGTCTTGTTGACTTTTACCAAAGAAAAATTGTCCTAATCTTTAAATATATCATATTATAATAATAATAATAATTATAGACCTTCCAAAATAACCAGTTCAGAAATTTAAATCTTTATATTTCATGAGCTAAATTATTTAATGGAATATTAAAAAAATTACCATAAAGTTTGAAATTTCCTTAATCAAACTGGACGGCATGGCACGTGCGAGAATTACCAATAAGTAAAGATAATTAAAGAAAAGTATTGATTAAACTTAAATTAATTAGCAAAGATAAGGAGGAAATTCACGTAAGCTTATACCAAAAGGTTGAAAAGCCCCCAAACAAAAAAGGCAATATTATAATTATTGGGTTGGCGATCGCCTGGTTTCGAGTTCAGAGTATCTGAAACGTGGCGGCAAGTTATTGGGCGAAGTATAATTTGCCGAATGTTTGAGTCACCCACCAAGAGGGTGGGTGAGGTCGAAATTCCAAACAGTTGAAAATGGAGATGGGCGGTGCTCTGTTTCTTCTACTTTTCTGCGGCCCCATTTGATTTTAGTCTTGATCAACGAGGAGCCGACAGATCCACCACTTCCAAAAGCTTCCCAAATTTACTCTCAACTTCGAAATCGCCACTCCATTTCTTCAAATCGAAGTTGCTGTATGGAAATGTGTGGAAATGAATTGTCAGAGTGGTTGCGGCAGTGAAGTTCGGGAAAATTCTGAATCGGCGGCAGAAGAGAAAATGGTGGTCTCTGCATCTTCGTCTTCCTGCAGATTCAATAGACTATGGCAATGGGTCTTCACTGTAAGCCGGTGGGGTTGCGAGTAGACGGTGTGGCCCTAGTCGTACCATTTTCCCATATAACTACTTCAACCGCTTTCAACGAAAACCTTGTTCGCACGGAAGAATTCAAGGCCTTCATTCTGCTCTGTTTTCAAACACCGACGACGCCACTTTAGCCGACTTTAGCCGACTTCTCTTCCCCTTCTTTCGTTGATTATTCTTGTTTTCTTTGGACTCTGACGTTTTCTTATGGCTTCTGTGGAATTGGGGAAGCCGAGTTATGAGGCTATGAGCCAAGGGGAAACCAGAGGACGATTGGAGAATGAGAAGAGAGAAGAAGCGAGAAATGTGATGAAGAAGAATGGAAATCGTACAGTATCGTTTTCCTTACCTATGCTCGGATGCGGATGTTTCAGAGTACAACGCGATGAGGAAGGGAATTTGGATATGGACGTCGTCAATGGCTCTGGGGATCGTCGGCAGCCCACCCACCTTCTTATAATGGTTAACGGTCTCTTTGGCAGGTTACTCCATTTTCCTATGAGATTCTTTTGGTTGTTGCTATGATTCAAGCAATTGAAATCCCAATTCATCGCTCTATAATGTTTTCTCTTTAGTATTTCATTTGCATTTATGTGGGTACTGTTTCTATATTGGTTTCTGATTTCGTTTACTGAATAGGATAACGGACGACTTATCTTATAATCAATAGTGGGTCGTATTGTTCTACTTCTGGTAGGTATTAGCTCTAGCTGTAGAATGTTGGCCAGCTAAGCCCCAACTATTTTAACAAAGAGTTGGTCCTAAACACTAATTAATAACAAACTATTAATGGGCTTTTCTTTACACTGTAAACAAATCCATGCCATTTGGTATTTACATAGTCGATTGTTATCCTTTTCTGGGTGATGCATTGGCAGTGCCAAAGATTGGAAATATGCAGCGGAGGCGTTTTTGAAGATGTATCCTGAAGATATGGTTGTTCATTGTGAGTCTTTCAATGTGATCTTCTTTTAATTTCAACAATTAAAGTATACACAACGCAAAGGAAGCTTACCCTTTTCATATTTTCTACTGGTTGTCCTGTTTTTGTCTGAATTCCTTTGTGTTCACTTTGTAACAAGCTTCTTTTATGAGTACAATGTCATCAACTATACTTGTGTTATTTGCAGGCAGTAAACGTAATTACTCAACATTGACTCTTGATGGTGTTGATGTGATGGGAGAAAGACTAGCAGAAGAGGTGTTTCATCATTTTCAAAACTAAGTTTATATTTCCATGTTGCCATATAGATTTTGTTTATTTTTCATATGTCAAGCCTTGATTATGTTTTCATTCAGATTTTGTCAGTTATTAGGAGACATTCCAGTGTCCAAAAGATCTCATTCGTATGCCATTCATTAGGCGGACTGATAGCAAGGTATGCCATTGCAAAGCTTTATGAGCAAGATGCACTAAGAGAAGATGTCCAAGTAAATGGAGAGTATGACAAACATGGGCTTAGAGATCAAAGCAAAGAAGAGGAATTTAAAGGAAAAATAGCAGGGCTGGAACCAATTAATTTTATAACATGTGCGACCCCACATCTGGGTTCAAGAGGGCATAAACAGGTGAATGAATAATCAATGGTTTTTTTGCTCTCTTGTTTGATATGCTTAAATGTCACTTCTGCTACTTTGATCATAATTTGACATTGCTGAAAAATTCAAAACTTCTGCACCTTTTCTAGAAAATACACTGTGACCATATATAGGCTATTTTACTATTTATTCTCCCCTTTGATTTGTTCGTGCTCGGCTTCATTGACAATTCGCTAGTGACTACAATCAAACTCTTCATTTTAACGAAGGTTTCGTTCTGAAATAGATTCTTTTGCTGGAGTAAATCTATCTTAGAATTTGAAGGTTATAGTATTCTAGTCATGTATGTGGCTCTTGAATTTATGAAGCACTTTTCACGTTTCAGGTTCCTATGTGTTGTGGCTTTTATGCCCTGGAAAAAGTAGCTGTTGGCACATCATATTTCTTTGGAAGAACTGGGAGGCAATTATTTTTAATTGACAAGGACAGTGGAAAATGCCCCCTTCTTTTTCATATGGCTGGTGATCGTGAAGATCTCAAATTCTTGTGAGTCCACTCTTTTTGAGCTCAAGTTCACAACAATTTCTTGCCTGCTTCTAGAGAAATTCATCTTCACCTGTAATAATATTGTGGTCTTTCTACTGCAGATCTGCTTTGCAGTCGTTTAGACGACGTGTTACCTATGCTAATGCACGTTACGACAGTATCCTGTCATTATTTCTCTACTCCAGTTAAATTACCAATTTGTCCTTGTAGTTTGAAAAAGGTTAGAATTTAGTTCCTATGATTTTAAAATTTAGAATTTCATTCTTATCATTAGATAAAACCTCGTAAACAATCATTACGGTTTGACAAAACATTTATAAATAGTCCCCAGCATTTGATAAATAGTCAAACTATAGAGATGAGTTCTAGCTTTTAAAAACATCGAGACTAAATTCTAAATTTCTCCAAACTAGAAACACCAAATTTGTAATTTAACCCTATTCTTCGATGCTTCCCAATTTTTCAAGTAGGCGCTCTCAAGCATTATATTCCTGTGAAAAGATAGTTGAACTCAAGATGATTGAAAATACTCGAGTCACTGATTCTACTCTCAAGTAAACTCATCAGATTGACAGTTGTATTGCCCTATGTTTATATATAAACCTTAACACTATACACAGACGTCGTTGGATGGTGTACATCTTCTATCAGGCGTCACAAAGAGTTGCCAAAGGTAATTTTGAACATTACCCATGAAAGCTTTCTATGTAGACTTTGAACTACTATCTCACTGGCTTTTACCTTTCAGCTCAAAGGGTTATCAGGCGATAGTAAATATCCATATATTGTAAATGTAGAGATGGCAAAAATTTCCAGTCCTGAGTTATATGTGCCATCAGAGGCCGAAGCCAATGGATACAAGAAAGCTGTTTTGGAAGGTAAGCACTCATTTAATAGTTGCTGTTTTAACTTTCCCAGTCAATTTGACATCAACTGTTCTTGTATTGAGTATCATAAGTTCGTCTCATGTTATTTTATTCATAAGTTTCTTTTGAGATTTCGTGATCATGATTTCCAAAGTTCTTAATTTACAATTTGTTAGTTTGGCCATCTTTAACATTGTAGTATTATTGTGTTAAAATCATTGTAGAAGAAATGATCAAAGGTTTATTGAGCATGAGCTGGGAGCGAGTCGATGTTGACTTTCACAAAAGTAAACAAAGGAATAATGCTCACCTTACCATTCAGGCAAGTTTGCATCCTGCAGCCTAAAATAAAATTTTATCTGGCAAACACAAAACTAGACGTAATTAGCAAGTCATCATCCTTAGATCAGACCTTGTTATCGTTCTCAATTAATAAGTTCAAAGTACATATTTCTATCAGGTTAATAGGTACAAAGACAATTCC